TCCGGAAATTATGAAAAATTCACAATTGTACTATTTTTTTTGTGCTGGTTACAATGAAAAACTTGAAAGTGAGCAAAGCTGCTGGTTTCAATGCACTTACACATATTTAGTATGTGGATAATTTTTAGGTGGACTTTATCTTTGCAGATTGAATAACAGAAACTCGTCATAAAGTGTGGTTTTCACGCAATTTAAATGCTTACAGCAAAGACGTGACTTTTATGTTTATATAGCATAGAAAGTTACTGACCTATGACGGATTTGACAATAAGATTTATGCATGTTTAGGGCGGGAGGAGAATGTAGCATTTATAGGAAGTAAGAACGTCTTTGATAATGATATAATGGAAGATTCACAAGCCGGTTAGAGTCACATTTATCTGTTTAACAAAATGGTTTTTAAGTGGATATGAAGACGAGTGGTCATTCCGTACTCTGGTTAAAATTGTGTGGCTTGACTTTGGTTTGCCATCTGAAAACAACTTCATTGCTACCAGTCAAGCAGCAGTAGAGGGATACTTGTCCGTCAATAATAATTCGAGACTTATCGTCTACTACGGTCTCTCTCTCTCTTTTCTCACTTTATCTTTCGCATTCGGCCTCGCTCTTGCAGAAACCATTCGAGACTATCGTCTACTGATTAGTCCTCACTCGCTTTCTTTGTTCTTTTCCCTCTTCAAAGTTCTCGCCCAGGCTTGTTCAGGGTCTCCTCTCCCCAATCTCGCGCCTCTCTTCGCATCTCAGCTCGCGGAAGGTGAACACTTTTTCATCCCTTATTAGCGTGTCGTTTCTGTTGATTCTGTTGCTTTGTTATCAGAATAATCGGCTGAACTAAGTGTGTTCTGCGGCCCTTTTAGTCTATAGGAGATGTGGGGTGGCTGCTGAATAGCAGAGGAGGGTTTTCTAGTCTCTCTTTTGGGGCCACTGTTGCCTATTAACGAGGTATGTCCCCAGCTCAGATTTCGACTTCGGTGAAAGAAGAAAGCCCTTTGTTTTCGACTTTAGATGTGGCTAATCCTATGATGGCCTTGCTTTTTGATTGTTAGTTGCATTGTAATTCGGTATTTGATCTTTTGTTGAACTAGAACGAGCAGGTCTGCAAGCGCGCTAGACTCTATTGCGCGCAAAATTGCCACATTTCGCTTGAATCCAGAGACCATTAGTTTTTATGTGTCGTGAGGTTTCTTTGTGTTTGAAGGTCCTAGATCAATTTATAGAAAAATAAAACATAAAAATAAAAGTAGGCCGCTTCCAGGGTCGACTAGTTTGGTTCTCGATTGCAAAAACGGAGAACCGATTATTACGGAATAAATTCCCGATTCGTAGGTTAGAACCTACTTATCCTAAAACTAATCATCTTAAGAGTAAGTCTTCTCTTAAGGAGATTTCATTTGACAATTTTACCTCCCTATAGAACATTCCAAATGAGTAATCTTCTTAAGATCTTTTACATGATATCCAATAGTAAGAAAAAAAACCTATTTGATCTTATGACGCACACATGAAAACAATCAAATAAATCAAGCCATACACACAGAGTAGGAGATTCACCTAGCTTTATATCACTCATTTCTTACACCTCTTTTGTTACAAACAATAAATTAGTTCTTCAAAATGTGACTAATTAATTTAACCTGACTTATCACAAATTTAGCCGATTAGTCCTATTCTACTTCCATTTAATTGGATAAAAAAAATCTTTCCGGTGATATTCTCAAGGTGGGCCCTTCAACAAAAATGGGGACAAGCACTCAACGCCATTGTTTCAAATCTTGGTCGTCTCTGAATTTCCCTCAGCAGCTTCCTTTTTCTTCCTTTCTTATCTTCTTTTCCTCCTTACAGCGAATCAATACCTAATTTTTAATCGTTCATACTAACACTGAGAAAGGTCAAAGTCAGAGCAACGCAAACAAAGAGATGCGCCGTCTCATTTTAGGTCATTCCTTTGCGGTGCTTCTTGCGTCTCTATGCTTGTATTCACTAATCTCAATAAGAAGAAAAAGAGTGCATAAAAAGAGAGAACTGAGGGAGCATCCGCGCCTCCGTTTGGTGCCATCTAACAAATTATAGCTCTATTTTACAGACAAGTTATCAATCAAATCTTTAGATTTGAAAATTTGAAATGAAAGGCTCGATGATAACATACCAGTTCAAAATAAATTCATTTCGCATGGAATGGGAGCACGTGGTGCCGGCGTGGAATAGATAAAACATAAATAACCATGAGCATTTGTTTCTCTTTACGTTACATTCCAACTTCATTAAGAATGACAATTTTAAACAAGATTAAAATATAAAATCACATCCACAATTACTAGCTCGGTCCTTTCTTGACGTCTTTCGCACATTTCTAATTCCGTTTCAAATCAATTATTATCTTTTGATTGATATATCAAATTCTGATTTTCAATAACCAAATAAAAACCGAACGTATGCTTATGTTTTTAATTGAATGCAATATACTGATTCTAGTTCTTTATAGCCAAAATGAAAAATTAATGTACACGTTACTCGTGAGTGGATCAAGCCAACAAGTTTGACTTGAATAGGGTGAGGTCCAAAAGAAGATAAGGCGACGACTAAAAGCATATGCAACTGCTCCTTGTCCATCAATTACCAATTAATTAAAGATTTCATGTTCATTTTTTCTTGCGTGGTAACAAATTCATGTTCATACTTGTTTGTAGAGATTAGTTCATCATCCTTTAATGCAGCAGCAAAGCATCTTTCGTTCCAACTTTCGCCCTTAGATTGCCATGCACAAAGGGCAGAGTGAGAGAGAGGAAAATTGATAACACTTCATTCTCTTTTTTTACTTTTAATTTGTGTTCATGAAGGTTTCTATGTGTCCTGAATTCATAATTCAAAAGCCTTTTGGACGTTACCTCTAAATATTGCTGCTTTCTTCTAAAAGTAAGCCCGTACACTTCATTCCCTTCTTTTCTATGTTTTTTTTTTCCTAAATCATCTTTTATTTTTTGAATATTTCGCATACTTCTTTTTTCATTGGTTTACTAACTTTTCAAGAGCCGAATGATATGCTAACAAAATTGTAATAAAAAAATGACCCGGAAAAGAACTCAAGGACAGTGTCCAAGTATTTCATATATCATTAGTAACTTATTACTAGCACGTTATGCTCATTTGGTGTCATTTAACAGATTATAGCTCTATTTTGCAAACAATATATCAATCAATAATAATATGAATTTGAAAGTTTGAAGTGAATAGCTTGGTAACATCATATCATAGATTCATCTTATATAAAATTATTGGCATATGGGGCCAGCATGAAATAGATAGGAGAGAAATGACAACGACCATTTGTTCAACTCTACCTCACATTTCCAACTTCATTAAGAATATGACAATTTTAAATAAAATTAAAATATGAAATCACCGAATTTGAATTAATAAAAGAAGTGAAGCAACTGACCCCAAAACGAATAGAGAAGCAACATTCACACAAAAAGAGAAAAGAACAGGAGAGAGAGAGAGAGAGAGAGAGAGAGAGAGAGAGAGAGAGAGAGAGAGAGAGAGAGAGAGAGAGAGAGAGAGAGAGAGAGAGAGAGAGAGAGAGAGCAAGGAAGCAAGAACAAAGACGGTCTAAGATTGATTGAAGTTAAGCAAGAGGGAGAGTAGTACCGTGTTCCAAGCCATTGGAAGAGAGAGGAACGTATCAGCTTGTCAGGAAAGCTCAAGTTTTCTTGGAGAAATAAGGCCAAGAGACCTGTACACTTTTAGCAATTCCTTTTTTTCTTTGTTCGGAAAAAAAAATCAAGTGAAAGTTTTGTCGAGCGGTCCTTAAAGACCGCGAAAATTCAAAGACTTTGGACATTCTTTTTTCATCATTGATTTTTGTGAGCGATCATGTTACTAAAGGTACAACTAACAATTCATGTTGTGTCATGTTAATTGTGTCATGTCGAGTTAGGATATAACACGAATATGGCAAAATCCAAATAAGACATGTTTAGTAAACGCATTGAACTGCCACAATACGAACACGACACTTAATAAAGCAGATCAGACGACACGACACGACAAATGCAATTATTAAACGTGTCACCATATGAATGTCAACACGACGTCACCATGCAATATGCTAACCTGTATACATGCAAAAAGATGCAACACATTGCATTACATTTAAAGAAAGAGCAAAATTGCTTCGCTTGATATTCTAATTACAAGTGAGACGCAAACTTTTGTATTAATATTAATCCTATGTAAGAGCCATAAAATTTTATCTCACAAAAGCCCCAAACTTCGAAATACTAAAGCCATAAATTTCAGAATCTAAAGTTGAGAACAAAAAAACAAGCAGACCATGAAAGAAGAGAGGGAAAGCTAAAATTCCTCGAAATATGTTTGGATACATGTTGGGTGGAAATGATGTAAATGAAACTGAATTTCATTGATAGACTTAATTATCCTTCATTCTATTCATCCTTAAAAAGGAAGTAAGGCCACTTTTGGAAGAAAAGTGCAATTTTTGCATTTCCTCTCATATCTATGCACTTTTAGAAAGATATATAATGTGGACCCAAAAGGAAGTATTTCCGTTTCATTTAGAATCATTTTTATCGACTTCCTTCATAATTTAAACAGTTGAGCAAATGAAAATTTTTCCTCGTTTAATATTTAAGCTTTAGTTAATTTTATATATGAACTATGCCTAAAACTTGAAACCCACCAAATTAAAAACGTGATTGATGGAAATTTCCTCCAATTAGGAAAGTGCACGCATCTGGAGGATGAGGTTTATTGGGCAACAATTAATTGGCACTGGGATTAAACAGAAGGCATTGTGAAAATGAGGTTCCTACATAATTTCAATATCTTGAAATATCATAGATGTGCATGCAGTTACATAGTTGTTCGAATGTGTTTTAAGGAAGTTTACTAATTACACTTCAATCTGTTTAAATACTTGAATGTGTTTCGACTATATGTTTCTGAACAAGTAAATGATGTGGGCATTTTGGGGGCCTCTTTAGGGCCACCTTATCTTCCGCAGTGAAACGACATCAGCTTACTTAACTGAAGGCCGCATCTTCATTACCTATCTCTTTCTCAAGAACACGAACCTTCTTCAGCATTGCCTCGGGGAGAAATAAACCTACACGTTAGTCAGAGTGGACCAAGCCAGCAAAGCATTTGCAGAAAAGCATCCTAAAAGCATCTTTCGGTGTTCATCAATCCTTTTGAGCAGCAGAAAAGCATCTTTTGGTTTCAACTTTCCCCCCTCAGATCGCCATGGACAAAGAGTTGAGTCAGGGAAAGAGAAAGAGAGCAGAGGAAGAGGGCATTGAGGGAGCATCCCCTTCTTCGTTCATCTCTCCGGTACTCACAGGACAAGGTGACGATCAATACGACGTATTCTTGAGTTTTAGAGGCTCAGATACTCGTCAGAAATTCACCGATCATCTCTACCATAGACTGGTCAGCGCAGGGACTGCACCTCTTTCCGTGTTCAAGGATGATAACAGCATCCCAATTGGCGAGGAATTTGGTTCACAGATTCTCGGTGCCATCTCACGGTCTAAGATTTCGATCCCCATCATCTCCAAAAATTATGCTACGAGCAAATGGTGCCTCCGTGAACTCATTCATATGATGGACCGTAAGAATAGCATGTCACACACAGTGTTGCCAATTTTTTACGAAGTGAAACCATCGGATGTGCGGGATCTAAAAGGAAGTTTTGGGGAGGCCTTCCGTTTGAGCCAGGTGTGTTTTGAGGAGAAGGATATCCTGGAAGGGCAGCGAGCACTTTATGAAGTCAGTTTGTTACATGGATGGGAATCCGAGAAAGTTGTTAATGGGTACGTCACTGAACTTTTTTCCTTTTTTGATAAGCAAGTTTTCTTCTTCACGCAGAATCGATGAAATGCAGATGTATTAATTTCACTGCAAGCTCAGAAAAGGTCCCCAAAATGTACCAATAATGCCTCGAAGACTAACAAACTTAAACCAAAGATCCCATAGCGCGCAAGAATTACACATTTGTCTCTGTCCCAGAGCAAAAAAAGGAAAGAAACAACAACCCCTCCAGCCAATAGTATCAATCACTAACATGCCTAGAAAGGACTCCAATGCTCGGTCTTCCAAAACTTGATCACTACCAGATAAAATAGACCTCCTTATGCCAACGGGTTGGCTCATATGATAAGAATTGGACACTTCATGAATGTTTGGATTCCATATTATGCAAGGACACATTGCTTTTGCTAATTCGAATTGAAGGGTAATAGGTTTGATTTCCAACGCCAGTAACCCCATCGGTAGGTGGTCTTGGGGTAACCTCCTCTCCTAAAATTTTTTAACCCCCCCAAAAGAAAATTGACCTCCTATCTTTCTACCGGTGGCAACCTTAATCCTTATAACGAAAATTATAGTTCGAAAGACTCTTCATGAGCCAGGTGCACCACCTTATTTTATTTCAACAAGATCCATCTATTGGCGTAAAAGGATTGGGAAAACAAATGAAATGACCGCTACACCATCTTCCCCCATTGTTAATTGTAAAACCAAAACGGCTTGCAAGTTAATTGGCCCAATGCATCCTTCATTATATGCCGGTCTTTTGATGAGATTAAGTATATTCACGAAGTTATCATTGAGTTTTGTTGTTTGATAGGCATGAAGGAGAATTGGTGGAAAAAGTTGTCGAAAAAATTCTGAGCGAGTTGCGACAAGATTTTCAGCTTGATGTTACTAAGCACTTAGTTGGAATTGAGGATCGTGTGAATGAAATCAGGAAATGGGTAGACACTCCTACTAGTGTTGCTCGAATGATTGGAATCTATGGCATGGGTGGGATTGGAAAAACGACTCTTGCCAAGGAAATCTACAACCAGTTGTCGAATGACTTTGTGCATCGTAGCTTCCTTGCTGATATTCGAGAAACAGTTCACCGCAACAATATTTCTTATCTACAAAAACAACTAATTGAGGACATACTGCCAAATGAACAAGTTAAGAATGTTGATGATGGAATCAATATAATCAAATCTAGATTCAAAGGAAAAAAGGTCCTCATTCTTCTGGATGATATAGATCACAAGAATCATCTAGATGCATTGGCTAGGGAATGTAGTTGGTTTATGGCAGGGAGTGTGATCATTGTTACAACTAGAAATGAAGCCGTTCTTGATCAATCTGAATTCAAGGAAGTCTACAAGTATGAATTGAATGAATTGGATGAGGAGCATGCTTTCCTTCTGTTTAACAGACATGCATTTCGTGCGGAACATTCTCCGAGGGACTTTGAGGGTATATCTCGTGATATCATATCCACCATGGGTGGGCTTCCCTTGGCGCTTCAGGTCGTAGGTTCGTACTTGTATAAAAAAACGAATCAAAAAGTATGGGAAGATGTACGGAAGCAATTAAAAAACCAACCATATAGAGATGTCCAAAAGATATTGCAAATAAGTTATGATGCATTAGAAGATGGACATAAGCAAATTTTTCTCGATATTGCTTGTTTCTTTATTGGCGAAACAAGCAATTATGCCATGTACATGTGGGAGGGTTGTCGGCTTTATCCAAGTCAAGGAATTGAAGAGTTGAAGTTGAGGTGCTTAATTAAAATTGGAGATTATGGTCAGTTTGAGATGCATGATCAACTGAGAGATCTTGGAAGGAGCATTTTTTGCCTAGGACAACCGCCTGAGAAACGTAGCGGACCATGGGACGATGACTATGAGGGAGTCACAAGAGTACTAAGACAGGACAAGGTAAAATATGGCGCTCCTTTCTTTTGCTCTCCCTCTTAATTTAATATATTTAATTTGATCTATTCCAATATTTCATCTAGCATGAACAGATGCTCTTACTTTCTAGGGAAAAAAAAAAATCTATGTACGCATCCATTTATGTCCACGTAGATTAATTTTGACAGCTAAATGGATTATAAGTATCTCAAGGATGAAAAAGTTGTATCATTTGATTCGATATCATTGACATAAATTACATCCGTAAAAATTTTATTCACAATCAATTTAAGATCCTTTTAACTACAATTTTACACTATAAATCTCATTTACTAAAAGCATGTTATTGTCATATCTAGTTGAAAATATTGATAATATGAAGGACTGCAATACTGAATGAAGATGAAGTATAAACATCATAGATCAAATAAATGAAGATTTCTTGGTTAAAAAAAAAAGATAGCATGTGCCAATTATAACAACTGATAATTAAATCAAAACAATAAGATTGGAAAAATTTTTAAACTTATTGCATGTGCTTGCTTTCTAGTACGGCCGAATGTATTGTGGTGTTCCTGTGATTTAGGATTCCAATGTTTAAGATTTTTTTTCTCCATTTTCATTTTGAAGATACCTATCCTTCTACACTAGTTATTTCTATCTCTTTTCATTCTTATTTCCTCTTAATAGATAAGACAACAAAAATCCATTTTTTAGGAAAATCTAACTGTTTTTTAAGGTTTTAGACCGTTGACCTTGCTCATTTCATGGATTCGGTTAGGTGTATGATAAAGATTGGATTTTCTTATAGCAAACATTTCTATCCACTATAAGTTGTTTTATATTATTTATATTTTTTGGGACAATGCCTCTTTTGTGCCAGAAATTGTTAGACTAACTTGACTATTTATGAATAATAAAAAAAATAAAACTTGACTAAATAGAGGAAATGTCGTGCTTATTATTATATCCACACCTTTGTATTCATTATATATGATTTTCAGCATGAAGCCAATTTTTTCAACTATGTTTTATCTTTTACTTAAATTATCAATGTTCATGTCATTTTATTATTATACATTGTCCATCTGGGATGCCGCTAGGCTCATGGCTGATCAATGGCAAGGAATTAACCCAAGCAACAAACCAAGAGATGTTGGGCAAGGGAAACGGATTTATATTCTTGATATAATTTGAAATAGTTTGTTCCTATGATTCAATATCAAACTCTTTTGTTGATCGAATGACTTCTTAACATTAGCAAAAAGAGCACACAATATGGATGTTTGAAAAATGAATAAAAGTGTCCAATCTGTTTTGAATAGACAAAAATGTTGAAAGATGATAATTAGTGCAGGAAAAAAAAGTGAATGATTGTGAGATGTGAGAGATTTTGATTTAACTTTGGAAAATGAAATATTTATGCAACAAATTTCCAATAGCCTTGACTATTTAAAGTATGATTATGTCTATTTTGTTATATCCTATTTCTTTGGTTAATTTTGATGAACTAAAAGCGAATTGCGTGGAAACTTTTTATGAAAGTTTGAGGTTTGAAATCCCCTTTCCGTATTAGAATTTTTTTAATATAATATACATTATAGATTGATGTACAATCGAAAATTATGAAAGATGGTGTGGGATGATGATTACAACAATTTAGTGACTTTTCTACTAACAAACTTAAGAGAAATTACACCCGTTGCAGGTTTTTCACTATTTAATGTTTAGAGTAGAGATAACGATGAACGAGTCGAACTGTAAAAGTGAATCAAACCAACGAAAAAACAACAATTCTAACCGATTGAACTTTTGGGGGAAAAATATAGGTATTATTATTAAAGTCAATCAAAACCATATGGGATTTTTTTCACCATCTTCAACTAATTAAATGATCTGTTTTAGCAGGAAAGTTATACAGTATGTTTTGACTTATACGATGCAAAAAGAAACGGTGCCATTCTTATGCAAATGGACGTATGTGTCTTCACTTTTTTTTTTTGGTAAAATAAGTAGAGTTATCTAGAAAATTTCATATGGCAGGCTTTGCTTAAAGATATTGCTTAAAATCTAAAAAAGTGCATTGCTAACCAATGTCGCCACGTCCCTTTTTAAACATACTTGACGAAAAAAAATTTCAGTTTTCAAAGAAATGATTAAACACTTTACAAAAATAGTTAATGAAATGAAAACCGGGTCCTTCCTTAGCTAATTAAAGGTGGCTCACTAGAACTCTTTGACAAATTCTTTTGAAAAATTATACACAAGTCATATGAAAATTTACAAGTAAACATTTCTATGTTGTAAAATGGTTTCATGTATTTCGTCTTAAATAAAATTCAAAGTGCACGCGCCATATAATTTGAAAAAAGAGAGAGCAAATGATAAAACATTGAGGTGCATTTGCTTTAGTTGTTTTAAAGCAATAACTATTTTAAAAAAATTAAATGCGAAATCAGGTGTCCGTATTTATGTACAGGAGTGATAGGAAGATAACAAATTGTGCAAATCCAAGATTTAAAAAAAAATAAAAAATAAAAAAGTTAAAAAGTCAATTGAGAGGCTCAATGGATTGACTGGATATAACTGGAGGGGAATTGAAAACGATTCCGTCATTTTTTTGGTCTCCTCGAATTACTTCCGCCATATCCAGAGGTACACAGATGAACCCTTTGAAAAAACTTGCAGAGCCCCTTCTCGGTCAGGGACTGGATGCGGGCAGCTTCAAGCGGAGACTCTTCTAATGAACTCCTTTCTGAAGTAAGATGGCTTGAGTTTAAGGGAAGCGATTTGTCTCTTCCGACGACCAATTTGCATCTACCGAAATCATCGGTGCTGGATTTATCAAGGAGCGGCATCAAGCGGAGACTCCAACGAATTTGCATCTGCCGAATTTCTCAATGTTGCGTCTTGGGAGACGATCCGCCTCTTCCGACGACCAGTTTGCATCTACCTAACTTATCGGTGCTGGAATTAGTTTGCAGCGACATCACAGGGGATTGGGAAGGATGGAGTTCATTCATGGTAAGATTGGGGAAAAAAAGGTGCTGTGATTTTTCGGTTTTGGTTTTGTTTTTGTTTAGCCGATCCCCCACTCTCGTTCTTTTGACAGCTTTATTCTCCTCTTTTTTGTGTAGACGGCAAAGCGGCTACAAGTTCTCGACCTTACGTGGTGCCATGGTTTAAGATGTACTCCTGATCTCTCGACTTTCACGCAGTTGAAGATCCTCACCTTGAGACATTGTTTCAGACTGGAGCATCTCCACCCTTCTATTGGCAAACTCAAGAGCCTCGTTTCCTTGGACTTGAGGGGATGTTATAGTCTCGAGGAGCTACCAGAGGAAGTGGGCGAATTAAAAGATTTAGAAGAACTTATGTTAGATTTTGGTGGTATTACAGAGATCCCTACATCTGTTGGTTCTCTGAGGAAGCTAAAGACACTGAGAGCCTTCAGTTGTCGGTCACTGAGAGAAATCCCTAGCTCAATTGGGGATTTACAAAATTTGCAACAGCTGGACTTGAGACGTTCTAGGCTTGAAAAGCTTCCCAATGCTATTGGAGGGTTGAAAAATCTGCGGACTCTAGATCTCCGCACGGGCAAACTCATGAGCCTATTTTCCTTGGACTTGAGTGGCTGCAACAGTCTCAAGGAGCTACCAGAGGAAGTGGGCAAATTAAAAGATTTAGAAGAACTTGTATTAGATGAATCTGGTATTACAGAGATCCCTACGTCTATTGGTTCTCTGACGAAGCTGAAGAATCTGAGTGCCGTCAATTGTAAGTCACTGAGAGAAATCCCTAGCTCAATTGGGGATTTAAAGAATTTGCAACACCTGAACTTGAGTCACTGCGAAAGGCTCAAGGAGCTACCAGAGGAAGTGGGCGAATTAAAAGATTTAGAAGAACTTCTATTAGATTTTGGTGGTATTGCAGAGATTCCTACATCTATTGGTTCTCTGAGGAAGCTGAAGAAACTGAGTGCCTTCGGTTGTAAGTCACTGAGAGAAATCCCTAGCTCAATTGGGGATTTACAGAATTTGCAACACCTGGAATTGAGTGGGTCTGAGATTGAAAAGCTTCCCAGTGCTATTGGGGATCTTTCTTCTCTCAAGCACCTTTACCTATGGGCCTGCGACAAGCTCCGGTCGCTGCCACAGCTTTCTAGCCTAATCCACCTAGAAGAACTCCATCTTTCGACATGCCATCTACTTGAAGACATCCCCGAGCTTCCCTCAAGACTCTTGAAACTCTCTGTTCGGAAGTGTGGTAAGCTGATATTGCTTAAGCTCGACGGATTGAAGAACTTGGAAGAGCTTTCAATAAAAGAGTGCAGTTCCATTGAAAGATTGGACCTTTCACAATTAATCCGTCTGAAACAATTACGCGCTGAGCATTGCGATAGCCTAGTTGAAATTCAGAGCCATGATAATTTGGAGTTCTTGGAGGACATATTTATATATGACTGCAATTCCATTAAAAGGCTTCTCTGTGCAGAATCACGGTGTTTGAAGGAATTACGGGCCATCACGTGCAACAATCTAGTCGAAATTCGAGGTCTTGACGGTGCGAAGTTCTTAGAAGCGTTGGATTTTGGGGGATGCGAATCAATGGAGACTTTGCCAAATTTGATGGGATGTGAGAAGTTACGATCTCTAAATGTTCGAGATTGCAAGAAACTTACTCAGCTTCGGGGACTTGAAAAGTTGGATTTAATTGATTTGAATATTTCTGGTTGCGACTCATTGGAAGTAATACCGGAATTATCTGGAATTTAGAAATTATGAATTAAAGCTGTTTTGCGACTCATGGAGTAATGTTCCTCAACAGAGGTAAATTAGCAGTGAACAATCATTTTTCTTCTGAGATTCATGACCTACTTTTCATCACTATCTTCTTTTGACAAGAAGGTTTTCCATCACAGGGTTCTGATTCTGAACTATCCTAAATTGCTAGTCTTACATAATTGAAGGAGTGGGGGAGTTGGTCATAGAAGCTGACATGATGCTTCAGCCAAGATCAAAATGTAGACCCAAATGACAATAAAAGGCGTTGGTCATCTAGTATGATTCTTCATCCTTGAATGGCCAGTGTGAACGAATAGAGTAATACTTTTCTCGAAGCTCTATTTTTTAAGAATGATTTGCTCCACACCGGGTTTCTATTTGATTGATTTTGGAAACTCCATATTTGCCTACATATATTGCTGTTGGTTACGTTATAGCAATGCATTTAATTTATCCTTCCATTGGTAGCTTTTGTAGACTGCAAATAGATTAGTGGCTTGTGAGGCAAGGATGAAAATATCAAACATAGGTAAACAAGAATTCCTTAGTGATTTATAGTTTCCCTCTCTGTAAACCCGGGATTTGAAATTTTCTTCTAGAGGCCGATGATCTACTGCTACTCAATAATGTAAACTACACCCAGATTTTCCCTGTCCAAAATTCATATTTTCTTTAAAAAAATCCTTGGCCATTTTGAGTGCCTTTGCGAGTTGTCTTGTGTCAAATTTGACTAATGGCATATGTCCTGTTGGGGACAAACGCCTTTCGGTTTTTTGTGATAAACGAAAACCCTGTCAAGTTTCTTAATGTTCCCTTTATGTTCCTCTTGAACCTTCTAAGAAAGGGCATCAATTCCCAGTAAGTATGATGAACTAAGCTAAAATAAAATATAAGGTTCAAGTGTTTCTAGTTGGTGATAAAAAAAATGTTAAAGCAGTTTTGGTTAGTCTGTCATATATGAATGTACACCCCCTTAACATTACCAGTAGTCAAACTGTTGTTTTGAAATATTATTAAGCAAGGTAAACTAGTGCTGCTTCTGTGACAGGTTTGGTTGGTCTATGTAATGATCAGGGCTTACTTTGGGACTTCAATTCAATCAGCTGTATTGATGACCTTTTCCATAATTTGACAATTTTTTGCCCATCTGTGAAACAAGATAGGGCAAGGAGCTCAAAAATTTGCTAATTAGTTTACATCCCATTTGATCCTATTGTTGTCATGAAATTGTTTATCACATGACTGATTTGGGTGTGGCTCACTTGGCTGAGAAACTTCAAATTCCAGACTTGAGACCGATCAAAATGAAGAAAAGGGATTTTGCAGAGGAAGCATCAGCAACAGCTGAGGACTATCTTGCATGCCAACAGTGAGACAAGTCGCGTTTTTTTAACAGAGGTAAATAAGCAGTAAACTATCATTTTTCTTCTAATATTAATGTCCTACTTTTCATCACCATCTTCTTTTGACAAGATGGTTTTCCATGACAGGGTTTTGCACTTTCCTGAATTGCTAGTCTTACATAATTGAAGAAGCAGGGTAGTTGGTTGTAGAAGCTGACATGATGCTTCAGCCAAGATCAAAATGTAGACCCAAATGTCAATAGAAGGCATTAGTCATCTAGTGAGATTCTTCATCCTTGAACAGCCAGCGTGAGCAAATAGAGTAATACTTTTCTCGAAGCTCTATTTTTCAAGAAAGATTTGCTCCACACTGGGTATCTATTTGATTGATTTTGGGGACAAACACCTTCAATTTTCTGTGATGATCCAAAATCCTGTCAAGTTTCTTATTGTTCCCTTGATGTTCCCCTTAAACCTTCTAAGTTGGACATTAATTCCCAGTAACTATGAGGAGCCAAGGTAAAGTAAAATTCAACGTTCAAGTGTTTCAGGTTGGTGATAAAAAAAATGTAAAATTAATTTTGGCAAGTCTATCATATATGATTGTAGATCACCTTAACATTATTTGTAGTCACACTGTTGTTTTGAAAGATTATCAAGCAAGGTCAACTATTGCTACTTTTATGGCAGGTTTGGTTGGTCTTATGTGACGATCAAGGCTCACTTTGGGACTTCAATTTAGTCAGCTCTATTGATGACCTTTTGCCTAATTGAACAATTTTTTGCCCATCCGTGAAACAAGCTGGGGCGAGGAGCTCAAGAATTTGCTAATCAGTTTACATCTCGTTTGATCCTATGGTTGTCATGGAATTGTTTTGTCACATGACTGATTTGGGTGTGGCTAACTTGGATGAGGAACTTCAACTTTCATACCTTAGACCAATCAAAATGAAGAAAAGGGATTTTGCGGAGGAAGCATGAGCGACAGCCGAGGACCATCTTGCGTGTTAACCTTGAAGAGGCTCGTGAGCTAACTGGAGTGTCCTCAGGAAGTTTTGATGCTTGTGAAGATCCAAAACACTTGATCTGGTCTTAACAGCACATACCTGAACGATAGTAAATGTAGTTTTTAAAATTGAATATGCTTTCTGTATGCTCATTACGTTCTACCTCTGTTAATCAATTACGTAGCCGCTGATATTTTTGTATGTTACGCTGATGCAGAGTTGTTTGATGTGGTTACATTCTAACGATATCACTCCTCAACTCGATGAGGCTCTGCAGAGGGAGGTATGCACTAATAGGATCCTCCATTTCTATCATTTATTTGTGTGATAATATCATTTGCATGTTGTCATATAGGTTTCTGATTTGAAAAGCTCAGTCTCGTGTATGCGGCATTGAATTCGTAAAGTTGAAATTGACCTCACAAATTATCCCGTATTGCTGATTTTGCTGATTGGATATTGCCAATAACCAAGTAACAAATACATCTTTCTATTCTGTAGTTTAGGCACTTCACCTTTTCAACATAATATTATTAACATCAATTCTGTTCCTAAACACAAACAAGGAAAGTGTTGCTAATTGCTTACTTCTCCCAAGTCAGTTGTTTTCTTTTTCATCCGCTAGCTAATGAAGGCTCTGTTCAATGTGGTCCTACTACGATTGGCGTAAATGATGTTTAGGCATTTGTACCTTATCTTTCAGGGGGTAAATTTTGATGCTATGACGTCGGTTTTTTTCATTTACTGATAATTAGTCAGTGCTATTCTTCTTGTGTAGTTCAAGCTGCATTTCATGAAACTCAGAGATAGTCCCCAAACACCACAGGATGGAGATACAGGCAGGAATGAGCTATGTCATTATGGAAAGGCATTCCGAAGTTCCTTGCTACTGGCTTTTATCATGTGCTCCGTGTTGTTAATACTCTTCAAATGATTCTTGATATAAAGCGACCTCTTCTCACGTGGTGTTTTAGTCCTTTGCAAGCTTTGGCATTGTGCCGATCTTCAGCAATAGCCAAATCACAACTCGCTTGCGGGAAGACCGCATGTGCAGGTGGTTCTATATGTGTAAGTTAAGCATAAGTCATATTTCCTCAACAGAGGTAAATAAGCAGTGAACGAACGTTTTTCGTATGAGATTCATGACTTACTTTTCATCACTATCTTCTTTCAACAAGAAGGTTTTGCATGATAGGGTCGTGTACTTTCCTAAATTGCTAGTCTTAGGTAATTGAAGGAGTTGGGAAGTTGGTCATAGAAGCTAACATGATACTTCAGCCAAGATCAAAATGTAGACCCGAATGCCAATAGAAGGCATTGGTCATCTAGTAAGATTCTTCATTGTTGAACGGCTAGCATGAGCGGATAGAGTAATACTTTTTTCGAAGCTCTATTTTTTAAGAATGATTTGCCCCACACCAAGTATCTATTTGATTGATTTAGGAAACTCCATATTTGCCTACATATATTGCTGTTGGATACGTAATAGCAATGTTTTTCATTTATCCTTCTATTGGCAGCTTTTGTAGAATGCAAACAGATTAGCGGCTTGTAAGGCAAGGATGAAATATGTAACATAGGTAAACAAGAATACCCTAGTTATTTACAGTTTACCCCTTGGTAAACCCAGGATTTGAAATTTTCACCTAGAGGCCGATGATCTTCTGCGACTCGATATTGTAAACTACGCCCAGAATTTCCCTGTCCAAAGTTCATATTTTCTTTGAAAAAATGCTTGGCCGTTTTGAGTTCCTTTGTGAGTTGTCTTGTGTAAATTTGACTAATGACAGATGTCCTGTTTGGGACAAACGCCTTTCGATTTTTCATGATGAATGAAAACCCTGTCCAGTTTCTTAATGTTCCCTTGATGTTCCTCTTGAATTTTCTAAGAAGAGCATCAATTCCCAGTAAGTATGACGAATTGAGCTAAAATAAAATGTAAGGTTACAAGCGTTTCTAGTTGGTGATAAAAAAAAAATGTTAAAGTAGTATTGGCTAGTCTGTCATATATGAATGTACACCCCTTAACATTACTTGCAGTCATATTGTTGTTTTGAAATATTATCGAGCAAGTTAAACCGGTGCTTCGTCTGTGACAAGTTTTGAAAGGTGAAAAGAGCCCTTCCCAAAATTTATACTCATTTGGTTCGAAAAAAAAACTTTGAAGGTATATCTAATTGGTTAATAATCAAACTCTAACACACCAAATTGTGGTCACCGATCATGCATTCAAGTTTCAATCGAATCAATTTCTTGGATACCACTCTCAGATATTCTTGTACCATGTACTAGATTACAATGGTGGATTTTTATTAGTTAAAAGCTACTCGCAAGGTATTCATAGTCTGATTCGCTTGTTGTCCACTCGAACTTGGACTCAATTTTTACATAGCACAAAACAAGGCCAAGTGGCTTGTTAAACCAATTTCAAATCTATAAGTACTAAATCATATATAATGCGGGTTGTGTTAAAATACTTGTTAAACGTACTTAACATGAAATAATTTAATTTTCAGAATATTGATTAAGCGTAACACAAGAAAAGTCGCAAGTAAAGTCTATATATTGACTGTGCAGATTATATATTTAGTTGCTTAATCAAAGGGCAATGGCCTTGTGTTTCACTACTCATAGAACATATCACAACCTTATCAACAGAATTGATTTTAAGCTGGAAAATTGTGAATCCACCGGATAATTGGATGAACGAGTCGAACCAATTGAACCAATTCGGTTCTGTTCATGGGTTTTTCCCCTTTTTTCTTCTACTTCGATTTCATGCTAGCAATTTGCTTCGAGCTTGTTTTTGAAAGTTCTATTACATTTTACGTCAAGATCCTTTAACAGCCATACAAACAACAACTACGTAAGTTTCGAAAGGACAGAAGAGGTTTCACTTCATTTTTCTGGATTTCCTCAATTTTGTAACTCTGAGCTCGACTGGACGGTATTAGAAATATGAAAACTGTCCTCGAATCACGTTGGAACTACGCAAAGCCTTTCGGTTTACATGACACCGGCACACGGCAGTTTAGACTATATAGCTTCGGGCAGTATACGTTGCCATATGATGAATCGTACGAGGAGGAATCCATATAGACGAATTGAGGAAATTAGGGGTTTAAAGAACCCCAGAAATAAGGCGTAAACAACATTTGGCCAAAACAAAGTTCTAAACAACAAATCAACCCCGAAATAGATCAAAACGTCAATCCTACAAACACAAGTATTCATCTGAGTTTGCAAACAGCATCAATTTTTTTTAGGAAAAGAGCTTACTGAGAAGAGGAGAGATGAACAGATCAGACAACTTTGCATGGGCATGCATACATAATCCTGTTACAAATAAATAAGAAGGTAAGAAGATTTAAAAAGAAAATCATCATTTATAAATATATACGACTATCACACACGAGTCGTTTCATTTTCCTATTTTTTGAATGCTAGAGATCGATGAATGAAACGACGAGTCCGGCGAACGTAATACTGGAAAGATCGAACATTGTAGCACTCTTTTGAATATTTGATTACCATTAGATACATATAAAGATGAACACCCAATAAACACAGCAAACCTCTCTATTGCCTCTTGACAGATCTCACCCTTTTTCTCTCTTGATGGCAATGAACACAATATTCCGTAATTTCTACTAATTAGAATCAGCGTGTGATGCTGGCGCATTTGCGCTTCAACCATTGGAACCCTTGTTTGAAAGAAGCCTTGAACTTGCCTTCGACGGAATAGAGCTTGTATCTGGCCACCCTCCTCTTCCTCTTCTTCTCCGGATCATTCCACCACGACGCTTTTATCGCCGACTTCTTCACTTTGTATACTTTGTGCGGCGGCGAAGCGGGTTCGAGCATGCGAGGCCGGGATTTGGCTATGTACATTGGGTTTTGGTTAAGAGTTTGGATCGTCATGATCTCTACAGTCCGACCAACTCCATGGGATCGGTAGCTCGGCGACCACGGGTCCATCTGTGTCCTCTCTCTCTCTCTCTCTCTCTCTCTCCCGGCCCTCCCTCGTGGCCTCTCCCCTCTCTCAGACGAGAAGCATTCTTTTTTCGGAGAGAGAGAGAGAGAGAGAGAGAGAGAGAGAGAGAGAGAGAGAGAGAAAAGGGGTCTCTCTAATGTTCTGAGATGGAGATGACAGCAAACAGAGAGGTGGTTTTTTCTGTTGGGGATGGAGACTTTCATGTAAGAGAGAGAGGCGACCAGGATTTGGACCTTCTATTTTTAACATTGGGATATAAATGCATGCAATTTTGTTCTTTCTTTTGAAATTATGATGATGCTTTTCTTTTGTTAAGTGAAGTTAGAGGTTACATGCCATGCGTCGAAGGCTTCTGTATCTTTGATATTAACCCGTAATGCTGCCGAAATCGGCTTCAGAGGCGAGACGAATTCGTCCCAAACCTACATTCGCAGGGTTCATCAGGTGGTTGAAATTTCAATTATTCAAAAATCAAAGAAAGATCCGCAACGATACTCATCTTAAATCAATGATAATGATACAAGACCTAGACCAAATCCAAAAGGAAATTAACGTGATCATGCACATACCTAAATTGCAGTTACTTTTGGTTTCGCTTGTCCCTCTTTTTGGTTCTTCCCATAGCCAGATATAGCACGCTTTGTTTCCCCAGAAATCGCTTAGCTAGAGATCTGCAATGCAAACGATAGGCACGGCAAAGGCAACTTACAGCGCAAGGTGCAATGTCTGCATAGATGGCTGCTCGTTTTGGTGAATGACTCACCAATACTATTTAGCTCAAGTCGAGTATATACACTCTTATCCAAGGAAATTCAAGAGTAACTTCGTGTTGGGGAACCGTGGGAAACCAGAACTCAAAAGCATAGAGTGTGGCTGTGGTCGAAACCCGACCAAGGAGCTTTCTGAAGCACCAAAATTTTCTTAAGAAAAAGCGACCCAGCACAAGAAGACGGAACTGAAGCTCTCATTGGCAATGAATTTTTCCCATATGCACATCAGAATTGTTAATTGGATCACTAAGTAATGATGTCTAGTCTTTATATGCAAAAGCTATTTACATAAGAAAAACCGCCGCCGACAGCGATAGCTCCGGGAGTTCATGAATTGATTGTCAAGCTAGTCAATCTCCACTCTGCATTTTGTTCTATTCCGAACATTCTTTTTGGTCGTCTTGGCATTATCCATGTGCAAAATCTGCAAAAACTGTTAATGGTCAAACAAATTGCACAAAAGTTAAAAAGAATATCATACTTTTCACTTCAGCTTTTCTTATAGGAGAGTTAAGGAAACTAATGGGTGCTATTCACTTACTATAGAAGACTTCCATTCGATCTTGTCATTACCATCCGCAGTAGCTTGCTGAGATTGGTCCCGTATATGATGAAATATGTGCACAAGAACAGCAGCATCAAGAGCGGCATATTCCAGCTGCAAACATTGCAATTGGTCAGGTTAAATCAAAGGACTTCTGCCCTAATCATATTTCAGGAAACATCAATGGTTACTTTTCTCTGCACTGTGTTTGCTCCTTAATATACGTTTATGGTTCTTTCCCTATCTTGGGGTTGAAAGTGGGGATGGTGTTTGTAAAAAAATAAGGAATATTCTACTTTTCTTGCATGTACTTTCACACTTTTTCCAATCAAGTCCTCGTACTTTTATTTGTCGAATTAAGTCCTACTTTCACAAATTTTGGAATCAAATCCCTCTGACATCAAATCCGATTAAGTCCAGCTGACGTGACTGTTGAACGACGTCGTGCTATAACGGGGATAAAAGTTTTCTGTCGATGTGATGTCCACATTGACTAACTTTTATCCACATCATACTTAGACATTGTGTACGGTGTCTCATTCTCTTCACACGTCAATTTGGGAATCAGCATATTAACATCATACTTTGGCGTATCCGCTGCTCACGTTTGCTAAAATTTGGTGTCAGAGGGGCTTGATTAAAAAATTAAAAGTAGGACTCGATAAGATAAATTAAAAATACAAGAACTTGTTTACATAAAGCATGAAAGTACAGAGACGAAAAAATAAATTTTTCCTAAAAAGTATCAGCAGTTATGTTCTTTTAAATAGACACCACAAGAATATTTGTTGCACTAAAGATCTTGAGAAATTGCTTAAGCAAATGCC